GAGAAGAGAAGGGAAGAGGGGAGGGGAGAGGGGAAGAGGGGAAGAGTGGGGAAGAGGGGATACTTGGGGGGAGAGGGGAAGAGGGGGAGAGTGGGGAGAGTGGGGAAGAGGGGATGAGGGGGAAGAGAGGGCAAGAGGGGAAGAGAAGGGAAGAAGGGGAAGGAGAGGAGGACAGAGGAGAACGAAGAGGGGAAGAGAGGAGGAGACCAGAAGAGGGAACGAGAGAGGGAAGAGGGAAATAGAGATGGGAAAGAAACGGGCAAAAAGCCATCATGAATAAGCGAAAGGATGGAAAGAATGTATCCCTTTGACTGAATTACAGGCGGCAGGCTATAAGAAGCGAAGAGGGCCCGGAGAGAGGGAAACAGAAGAAAAGACTAAAGAAATTTTGTATTTGAATTACGACAGGCCACAGGAAGAGAGAGCGATGGTCTCTATTTGAATCACACGAGGCAGTGGGTAGCAGGACGCAAGAAGAGGGGAAGGAGGGATTAGAAAGAGAAGAGAGAGAAAAAGAAGACCCAAATAAGACAAAGAAATACTGAGAGCTCGTATTCGAATTGGAAAGGGGCAGAGAGAGAGAGAGAGAGAGAGAGAGAGAGAGAGAGAGAGAGAGAGAGAGAGAGAGAGAGCTTCAATTCAGACAGATGTGTGTTTGACTTATGCCAGTGTGTATGTTACGATACATAAAGAGAACCCAAACGTTATAGAGAAGACTCACTGAAACGATGAAAGCAAGCTATTGAACGTTCTCTAGAAAAAGCCTCATTCTCCAATCTGATGTCAGATTGAGCATTCTTTACTCGTGCTCAATCTGATATCAGATTAAGCATTCTTTACTCATGCTCAATCTGATAGCAGATTGAGCATTCTTTACTCATGCTCAATCTGATAGCAGATTGACCATTCTTTACTCATGCTCAATCATGCTCAATNTGCTCAATCTGATAGCAGATTGACCATTCTTTACTCATGCTCAATCATGCTCAATCTGATAGCAGATTGAGCATTCTTTACTCATGCTCAATCTGCTATCAGATTGAGCATTCTTTACCCATGCTCAATATGATAGCACATTGCGCATTCTTTACTCATGCTCAATCTGATAGCAGATTGAGCATTCTGTACTCATGCTCAATCTGATAGCAGACTGAGCATTCTGTACTCATGCTCAATCTGATAGCAGATTGAGCATTCTGTACTCATGCTCAATCTGATAGCAGATTGAGCATTCGTTACTCATGCTCAATCTGATAGCAGATTGAGCATTCGTTACTCCAGTGCAAAGGCACCCGTACAACATAAAGCGGCCTCTTATACGATCGGTCGCTTTATCAAAAGACGACGACCACATTGGTCGACCCTTTTCTATCCGATGTGGTACTTCATGCGCTTGAGAAATTTCATATGTGACTGAAGAGGATTGTTGATAGAGGGCCGTCAAACAGGGCAGCAGCCGCAGGTTGAAAGGAAGGCAAAAAAGTCTATGTTCCAGCTTCCAAGGAAGACAACGTGAGTGTTTGAATCAAGATAAAGCGCATGTTTCAATCAAGATAAAGCGCGTGTTTGAATTACATAAGGCAGTTGGTACCAGGCCACAAGAAGAAGGGAAGAGGGAGGAATTGGGGCGGGGGGGGGAAGGGGAGGAGAGAGGAAGACAGAGAAGCTGCACAAAAGACACAGAGAGAGAGAGAGAGAATTGAGAGAAAAACGCGCATTTGGATTACAGCAGGCAGAAGTGAAGAGGGGGGGGGAGAAAGAGAGAGAGAGAGAGAGAAGCTAGAAATAACAGAGAGAGAGGGGGAGGAGAGCGAAAGAGAGAGTGAGAAAGTACAAATAAATAAGCGACAGAGCGAGAGAGAGTTGAGAGAAAAACATGTATTTGAATTACAGTGGATGGCATGTAAGGGAAAAACTACATAAAACACAGAGAGAGAGAGAGAGAGAGTTGAGAAAAACGTGTATTTGAATTACTGTGGGCGGCGTGTATTTGAATTACTACAAGAGGCCGCGGGTATTCTTACCTGTGGTAAGGGAAGAGCGGCGATGAAGTCATGCCCGAATCCCCCGTAGAATCGTTTCAAGTACCTGGCCGCAATTTGCTTTGGCTCCGTGATGAGCACTCCCGGTCCAAGGGATGACCTTTGGAAGTAGCAAAGTCGAAATTGCAAGTAAATGTTAACCCAGTAAACTAGGTCAGTAATTGTCCTCGACGCCAACAAAATGTTGCCGTAAAGACCCCTCGTCACATCTACACAAAACTTTTCGACCCCCTCCTCCTCCCCCCCCCCCCCCCCCCCCTTCCTCAGGACGTAGAACATAAAGGCAAACAGCGGGTCAATGAAAAGCGCAATTATGCACGCCGCAAGGACGATCTTATTCCACCGCTTCATGAATGCGCTGTGCGGATTGATCGTCCCCTGCATGTATCGACGAAATTCCCCCCATGCTCGCGCACCCCACCATCCAGGTTCCATGCGATCCTCATCCCTGCCCGGCTCAAGGACCATAGTATTGTAATAATCGTCGAACGACCAGTCGCCGGCGTAGTCCCCCTCGATACACGTTGGCGGGCCCCTGTAGTCCCCAGGGGGGGGGGGTCGATCGGAGTCCCCCGCCATCACCCAGGTAGGCATGGGGGGAATGCCGACCAGTGTCGCGGCACCTCCTCTCCCCGGCCTTTGTCTCAACATTCCCGACTTGGGAATCTGCGCTTGTGTCACAGGCGGGCAATACGGACAGAGGGGATTATCGCACCCACCCAACGGCCCAGATTTTGCCACGTCGTTGGCGCCGGGGTGGTGAGGGGGAAAGAAGTTGCTTGACATGAAGTTCTTTGTCATCATGATGGTCTCGTCATCTGCCCCTGGCCGTCCCGTTGGTGGTCCCAGGAACCCGGAGTACATGCCAGGAGCTTGTGTTCCCTGTCGACCGGGGTAGAGAGCGCCCGACCTCCCCACGACCGGCTCTGGCCGCGGAGCTGGCCTCGGCGAGGGCTGCTGTCCACGCGGCATCCGCGGAGGACCTCCCCACAGCGGTGGGGGAACCGGCGTGGAGGCAGACCTCCCCGATCCCCGACCATCTTTCCCCGGAGAGGCCACCATCCCCGCCAAGCCAAACACGCCGATCAACGCCTCCTCTCTCGCCGCACTCTCAAGAAGAATGTCGCGCGAGCTCTCCTCCGGCGCATCGAATGAACGAACGAATGAACTACTGCTCTCCTCCCTCTCTGGCACTTCCTCAATCGAAGCAGTCCGATCAAACTTCTTACGAGGCATTCGCGCTGAAACGACAGCGCTACTGGGAGAGCACCCAGAGAGAGAGAGAGGCGGGGAACTCTAACTGCCAACCCCCCCCCCCCCCCCCCCCCCCCCCCCCCCCCCCCCCCCCCCGGAGCAGCTGCGCCCAGCACCCCCACTCACGCTTTGAAGCTTGCGCCCAAACGGAGCAGGTGCACCCAGCAGCCCCAGTCCCTGGTCCTGGTCGCCGCACTGATACCCCAGGAACACCGCCGCGCTCCCCAACCCGCGCTACCTCCGAAATACCGACACTACCTGTCGTCGCGCTCAACCCGGTACCTCCGGAATACGGACACTCCCGGTCGCCGCAAGGATGGATGCCTCGGGGGACAGCTGGCGCTCTTCGCTGCACTGACTGAAGAATGCCCGGTCTCTCTCGCTGGCGCAGCAAAGCCTATTTCTTATGCAGACCGAATAGCGGGGGATGGAGGGAGAGGAAAGAATACAAAAGACGCGCTGGCGGAAGAAGACGAGTTCGTATGATGGATAGCGAAACCGATCGCTCCACACCGAATAGTCGGAAAGGATGGGAGAAGGAAGAACAGCAGGAGCTAGATCCCACTGATCCCATAGTACCTACGGTTAGTAAAAAGCTGCGTTTTGGCGGATCCCACAGTATTCCGATTTCGTAGGTGGTCCCGGTAGCTTAGGAGGCGAGTGGAAAAATTTGTAGTCGTGGCGGGCAGGGAATGAACGGCGCCGATAAAGCTGAAGGGAAAATGCAAGAGAACTCGGTCTGTACCCTGCTGCGAAAAAGAAGGGGCATACCTTTCTCGGCCTTTTGGCTAAGATCAAGTGTAGTATCTGTTCTGATCAGTTTAATATCTGAGATCCATTGGGCCGCTACTATATTAAATTATTTTTTCTGGGCTATGGAGGGGTCATATGGGTAGGCTTGCCTGCTCGGCCCCTCCAGCGTTGCCTCTGTGTTGCACTGCAGCAGAGTGGGGCGCGGCCCGCCTCCCCTTCGGGGGATTGAAAATATATGTACTGTTTGTGACGATATATATATATATCGTTAAATAGAACTGCCCGGTAAACCGTAGGCAGAGAGGGAGAAGAGGACAACGAACGAGGGGCTGTGACAAACTGTTTCGTCGGAGTTTCACCGACTCATCAGGAGGCTGAACCCTCAACAGTCTGTAGAATCCCCTCACTGATTACA